ATACATGTATATATTTTTTAATATATCTTGGCTTGAATATTACACAATATGAACTTATTTTTTACAATCAAAAGAAAATACAATTTTTTTTTTACTTCTCTCACAGTTGCTATGTAAATGGAAATAATGACCATTATGATCAAAAGCATTTAATACTTAATAAATCCTTAATTTCTTTTCCACCGAGTTCCTTAAAAGTTGAAATCTTTCCATATTCACCATCAAAAAATTCAGCTTAGAGGAATTAATTTTCCAAAGTATTTAATCATATCCAATCTTACTGAGAAACTATCACGGCTTGTTCTTAAGACAACAGAAGACGATTCAGGTTCTTCTCTTACGCAAATACAAAACACGTGGGAAAAATGCAGCTTGTAATTTGCAAATTAAAATGGCAAAAAATAAAAGATAAAAAATTAAAAAAGAAAAAAATAATAATAAAAATAATAATAATCAAAAAAATAATTAAATAAAGCTCCTTCAATATATACAATAATATGTACAGACACTGAATCTTTCCTTATCACCAGACATTACTGTTCTTCCCTGTCGAAGAAAAAAAATATCACGCTAGTACTGAATAACATTCCTATTTACAGACTTCATTTTGACTGAATTAGGAAATTGTACACAAAACTGACAATCCCCGATGAACAGGTCTTTTCTAACTAGATGAGTATAGTCAGTTCCTCTAAATATTTTCACATTCTAGTAAACACAAACACCTATAATTTAACAAACAGAAAATTACCATACTTGTCCATTTCCCTCCATCGTTTGCTGTAACTATCCACAATAGCGTTATCAAAAATATTTTCAAGATATCGACAATTGTATTTCTAACATCAAGGGAGGATAATGGGTTATGATAAACAAGAAAATATAAATATAATAGCAATATGTACTAATTACTATCATTGACTTATTAAGTATTTACAGCTGTTTCAGCCTTCAATTAAGGAAAAAATAATGAGGTAAAAACTTTATTCACAATCATACCTTTCTGGATATCAATATAAATGAACAATAACCATGAAAAAGAAATGTATATTTCAGTTCAATTAAGATATAAAAAAAGACCCTAGGATTAACAGAAAAGAAATACATATACGTGGTTCCTAATCACTATCTGAACCCGAGCCTGACTTGCCCGAAGACCTGGCACTTTCACTCCCACTCCTGCTGCCCCTACTGCTGCTCCTGCTTCTGCTCCTACTTCTGCTCTTGCTCTTGCTCCTACTTCTGCTCTTGCTCCTGCTCTTGCTCCTGCTCTTGCTCCTGCTCTTGACTCTGCTCCTGCTCTTACTTCTGCTCCCACTCCTGCTGCGGCTCCTACTCCTGCTGCCACTCCCACTCCTGCTCCCACTCTTGCTCCTGCTCCTGCTCCTGCTACGGCTGGAGCTCTTACGTGTGCTCTGCCTGCTGCGGGCTCGGTCACTGCCACTCTCGCTGCCACTCTCGCTGCCACTGCCCGATTCCTCATCTGAGTCTTTGATGGTATGCTTGGCCCGCTCCAGGCGCTTGGCCTTGTCTGTCTCAATGTCTGACTCCTCCTCATCCGAGGAATAGATAGGGGCACGGTCTGGGGGAGGGGAGAAGTTGTGTTTAGTGATGGAGTTAATACCACAAGTCATACATAAGTGCTACCATTAAATATATCCAACAAAGGCATTGACATGAGTTGTACATCCTATATACCACAATACATGCAGATGGTGCTAAAGCTGCAGAAAAGCTAAAGGACATTAAGGAAATCAATGAATGAAGAACATAAAAACTAGTACAGCCAAAACCTAAAGTAAATATTAACACTGCCTCACCATTCTGCTTGTTCTTGAACTTGTTCTTGATGGCAGCCAGAGAGATGGCCCCTTCATCATCTTCCTCATAAGCATCGGGCTCCAGGTAGTTTGCCGTCAGGCCTCGGCTCGATGCCTTCTCCCTCACACGACGCTGCTTGTTCTCTCTCCTCATGGAAGCCTTGAGTCTGTCCTCATCCCTCTGTGGAAGCCAAAGTAAAGGATAAGTTGATATATGAAAAATTCCATCTTTCCTTTTCTCAAAACACAGAGTGAAGCAGTTGTTCTAACATGATAAACATAAGCCCAAAGATAATGAATTTGGAAGACATGTTGTATAGGATATATATTTTTTAACCCATTTACAGCAATTTCTTTTTTCCGGGTGTCTCATATGTGGGACACCGACATATGAGACACCTGGCTTCAAAATATACCGCCATTAGTGGGTTAACAAAACTTGTTTCCATTCATTTTGTAGAGATGGTTTTCAAATGCTTCAACAAATAAAGTAAACAAATAAAGTAATGAAAATAATATGAAATGAATACAAATAAATCATTTATACATCTTTATAAAATCTCCCATTACTTAAAAATAGAGTACAAATTATTATAACTAGTAAAAGAATCAAATATGTTTCCCTTTCATGCTAAAAATGAGTCAGACAACTCCTCTAATTAATAAGTTAAAAAACAGACATAAACTAGAAGCACTCAGAGAGCACATACCTCTGCCTAGGGAATAAGAGTCAATTATGCAATGAAGATGTTCCCATGAAGAATTTTTCCCTATCTCTCAATACTTATGAATCCTTTCAAAAATTCCTGGGTCTGGATCATGATCTAGATCACCATCAAAATTTCATGGAATATAAGTTGGGCTAAGACACATCTGGTACGAATTTCAATCTTAAAATCTGTTCACAACTTTTTGAGCTATCCTACGAACAAACTAACTAACCAATACTGTCAAAAACATAACCTCCTTGGCGGTGCTAATAATTGTAAACAACCCCCACACACACACACACAAATTAGAAATTCCATAAATACATATTATAAACAAAAATAAAACAAAATTTAATTTTATATAACATAAACACATAACTATCCAAAGAAACATCTTATCACACACATACCAAATTATTAAAAAATTCAAGCATAAAAATTATAGCATACCCTTATGCTCTCGATGTGACTGCTCTCAGGGTCACGGAATACAGTGGACAGCACTTTGACACCCACAGTCTTCTGTGTCCTGTCAGCCAGGGATAGTGTGAGCTTACGATGAGTGAAGGACTCAGTGGAGTGCGGTCGGAAGGTGAGCTTTGTGCGGAACACAGCCTGGCCCTGCAGACCAGTGCCCTGGCGGATGAACAAGTGGTTGTGGTCGCCCTGAAAGAGAGATATGAAAAGATTGTTAAGAAACGTGAAATAAATCATGCCAATGTAATTGAAAAATACATGAATATGCAAATAATGCAAGTATATAATAAATGACCAACATCATGGCAGTGAAGGTATTAAGGACATGATAATATATTGCCTATTCTAATGATGATATAGGAATTAGGAATCTGGTTAGTAACAGGCACATCTATAGCCATTATGACATATGACTCAAGAACAAAATAGAAATGAATTTAAAATAATTAGCCCTCCTCCCCCTAAAAAGGATTAATATGATTATAAAGCATCAACAACCCATTTTATGGGAATGACAACAAAATATATTGCAAAACAATTATGAAAAACGAAACCTTATACAAGATACAAAATTCATCAAAAGCTTGAAGGACAAGCTTATGGCCTGAATTTCCTATTGAACATCCATAAAAAGTCAAATTCCCTGTATTCCAGCACGGGCTCCCATGCCCTTACCTGCAGAGGCTGCTTATACACATCAAAGACCTCAGCCCCGAGATGAAGGGACATGGAGCCGTCCGACCATCTGACAAGTTTGGCATTGCTCTCCTTGACTGCGTTGCCCTCCTTGTCAAAGACCGTCCTCCATCGGATAGTGTTCTCCACCTTTAGCTTGAGCCTAGAGGGGGAGAAGAAGAGAAATGAGGTAAGATGAATGAAATAAATAGAGAAATAGAAGTATAGAAAAACAGAATGCGAGGGAGAAGTGGAAACAAAATCCGAGTAAAATACAAAACATAAGATACAAAACTTCCGGAGATTCAATCATTGTGTCTGCTTCACAAAATTGAAATTAACCAATACTTTCTATAAAGTGCATACTATGAACCTCATAAAAATATATCATAAATGCATACTTCAAGACCCATAAAAATAAAATCTATATTATAAATCTCTATCATAAATATCAAATGTTAAAATACTTATTCTTAGTATATGTTACATAAAATTCTCTATAGTCTAAGAACAGAATTTTGGTATAAATGCTCTTTTTCCTTACATAAAAGAAAAGAAAAAATTCTAAGAATGAAATAAGAAATAACATACACTCATAATCAAGGAAACTTAAAAGAAAGCTAACAGGGGCAAGAAAGGCAAATGCAAAAAAATAATAATAATAATTTAAGAAAAAATAAACAAACGAAGACTGATAAAGCAAGTAAAACAACCAGACCAATTCACAAATGTAAAGACAGAAAGATACAGGGAAGATACACATACTCTCTCTATAGATATATACCTACATATACATACATAAATAAAGAGATAAACAGACTAAATAAGAAAAAAAATGAATGAAAGAAAAAATCAATTCACGCAACAATCTAGATACAAGTCGTCAAACTTTGCCCCACCTTGCCCTGCCCTCCTCATCAAGTGTCTCCTCATCATCAATCTCATCCTCGTAAAGGTCTGGGTCGAAAGGTCTTGTCTCCACTGACAAGAAGTTGGGCAGCTTTACAAAGTGGATGTCGCGTCCAAGGTTGGTGTTGATCTTGGGGATCTCGGCCTCAATTCTCGTCTCTGGTGGAGGCCCTTCATCTTCCTTCTCCTCATCCTAGGTACAGTATCATTGTATTTTAAAATCTGTTTAGGGTTATTCGCTCTTTTGCATGTTACCATAAATATGATACCAAGTTAGCATAAATCCCCAGATTCCCCTTTGCATTACCACTTACCAAAAAATTCTATTCAGCATATCTAGCTAATATGGATAAACAGTATCTAAGCAAATGCTACTTTCTCATCAGAGGCACTAATGAAAATAAGAAAAATAACAACAAAAACTTCTGAGACAAGAGCCCTTACATCTGGCACAATGAGCCTCGGTGAACCAGGAGTCCTGGAGCGTGACCTGGACCTGGACCTTGAGCGTGACCTTGACCTGGAACGGGATCGAGAACGGGAGCGCGAACGCCTGTCATCTTTCTTGCGTTCCTCCTCATCCTCACTGATGTCATCTGCATCTCCAAACAAGTCCTCAGCACCCACTGAAAGGTGAGAACGCATGAGTGAGAGGGAACTCTCGGTTACAGCTTTGAGCAACTGCCATGTATAGACACAGGCATTTGATATATAAAAGAAATCATATAGAGGTAAATTGGATGATAATCATGCTCCTAGTCATAATTTCAATTCTTTTAACCTAATTCTAAAATGCCAAGCCTACATTATGAACAAAATCATCATTTTGAATTTAAGCGTTTCTTCCACTTCAAGTGAATTAAAAGAATCCAAAGCCTACAACACAATAGTTTTCCTCCCCGAATCCATATTAAACAGATTGAAAAAAAAAAAAAAAAATTTCAAGCCTTAATCTTAATATTTTTGTCTTTGATTATTCTAATTATATTCCTAGAAGTCTGAAGAAAAAAAGTGACAACTTCCTTACGGTCTTCGTCGTCATCTGACTTCCTCTTCTTGGCTTCATCTCCTGACTCGTCATCACTCATGAGGGCACGCTTCCTCTTCCTGTGGGAGACAAATGACCAAATCAGAATCATAAAAGAATGAGATAAATAAAAGGAAACTCTTGCTAATGAGAAAAAAAAGGAAAAATCTAACATCTGCAATACCTACATCTGCAATTATGAAATGCATCACAGCAAACATAAAACAGGTAAATAAAATACTATTAGAAAAAAATTACTGTCACATCCTTTTTCAAGCTATTTTCTTACTCATAACCATTCCATGAAAATCTATATCTGGTATGAACTTTACATGAATATCTTTTATGCAGTAAAATTATTCAATAGACTTTGTATCAAAATTATTTTTTTGTACTCACCTTCCAATTTCAACATCACTATCATCATCTGAGCCTTTTTCAGCATTATCTAAAATCACCAAAGAGATAAACTGGTAAGTCAATGCTAAAAAGATACGATTATAAACATCTAATTCACATACTTATTGCAATAATCTACTGATATACAAGTTTTATCATATTCATGTTGTATTTTTAAAAACAATGTATTTTCTTGATGTAAGATATTTTGTCATACCAAAATCTACAAGTACAAGGGGATATCTACAAGAGACAAACAGGCAAAAAGATCCTTGCACAGAGGTCATCCAGAATGTGTCCTCACCTTTCCTCCCTTCTTCATCACTAAGACGAGGCGAGCGTGACCTCGATCTGGAGGCCGACTTCCTTTTGCCACTCTCGCTGCCTGCCTTGCTCACTGGGGAACGGCTGCCACTCTTTGACCTTCTTGAAGACCTGCTGCCAGCCCTGGACATAGGGGTCCTGCTCCTGCTCTTGGATCGGGCTGGGGAGCGGCTCGACCTGGACCTCACTGGGGACCGGCTCCTGCTCCTTGACCTAACTGGGGTCACACTCCCAGCTGGACTTCTGCTGCCCCTCCCCCCCGACTGAGCTGGTGACCGGCTGCCCCTTCTAGAACCCTCTGGGGATGGAGACCTGACAGGGGTCCTGCTTGCACGGGACCCAGACCTGCTCCTCTGGGGTGTCCCTGACCTGCTCCTCTGGGGTGTTCTTGACCTGCTCCTCTGGGGTGTCCTTGACCTGCTCCTTTGGGGTGTCCTTGACCTGCTCCGCTGAGGAGTAACCGACCTGCTCCTCTGGGGAGTAACTGACCTGCTCCTCTGCGGTGTGCCAGACCTGCTTCTCTGAGGTGTGACTGACCTGCTATGAGGTGTCATAGACCTACTCTTTACTGGAGTTGCTGACCTGCTCTTCTGACTGGCAGGAGACCGGCTTCTGCTGCGTGGACTGCCCTGGGGCTGGCCACTGCCCCTGCTCTGTGGGCTGGCCGGGGATCCACTCCCTCGACTACGGGGGGACCTACTGGCTCTGCTCTGTGGAGATCCTGGTGGAGACCGACTTCCTCTGCTCTGGGGAGACTGGCTGCCTCTGCTCCGAGGTGATCCACTCCTGCTTCGAGGACTCGCTGGGGGCGACCCGCTGCCTCTGCTTCTTGGGCTGGCGGGTGAGCCACTTCCTCTGCTTCCTGCTGGGCTGCGAATCCCTCCTACTGACCCACTCTTGTTGCTTCCAGTGGGTGAAGGAGTTCGACTCCCTAAAAGCACAGGTAGAAAAATAGAAAAAGGCTTGACTAGGATCCTCATTTTAGCTTAAGAATAATACATGACTTTTCCATCAATATTACAGACTTCAGTGCCCTCGCATGCACTAAATAGCTCGCTTATTTGATTTCATCTTTGCCTTAGAGGGGGACTATTACCTTCAATTAGATATCATACTGAGAACTGCAGGACGATTTACAATATTTTCCAAAAAATCACTTACGTGGGGCACTGGCAGGTGACCTGCTGTCAGCACGGCTACTGGCACGGCTGCTGCTTGAACTACTGGAGCCAGAGCTACTCTCTGAGTCCGAATTGTCAGACGATTCCATTGCTCCATCTGCAAATAGTGTTTAATCATTTTACTTACTTCCATCATATATGTAAAATATCACTGAAAAAATACATTACTTTTCTGAAAATGCTGTTCAATCATAAATCTCCAGATGGTATATGAAACTGAACCTAATTTTTAAAATTTGCAATATCTAGTTTTGGGGGACCATAAGCTACTCTGGCCTTTTAACATGAGAAAGTGTCTAGCAAAAGGATTATATGACCTACTACAAAAGTCTGCAACAGCATCAATAACAGTACACAAACAAATTTTATCTAAAATTCATTCACCAATCTTGTCATTGTGACCGGGTGTGCCCATCGGGCACTGCCAGAGGGGAGGGTTGATGGGGGGCCCTAGGAAACGCTATCTTCACCCCAGTATGCACGGCAAGATAGACCTGAAACTCGGTAGTACTGAGTAGACTCCTTTTACCTTTGTTTGCAGTGTTGCTAGTCATGTCTGCAAATTATTTCTTATACTGACAACTGCTATTTTGGTTCTCTACAAGAATATCATATTCAATTTGCCTTAACCCATTTACGACGGGTGTTTCACATATGAGATGCCCGGAAAAAAAAATTGCTGGGTGTCCCGCCGGTGTGTTGCTGTATCGGGTCTGACTCAGCTGCGGGCTGCGGCTGGCGTGCGGGCAGAGTCCTGGCCAGCCCCACCCCCCGCTTTTGTTGCTACCCGGAAACTTTTATTTTCAGCTTCAAAATATACCAGCATTACTGGGTTAACTTGGTGCATCTATTCCATAATGATTAATCCTCCATCATCAGAAAATCCATATTTCAAAACATGGCCAACTTCACTGAAACATTATTCTATGACTTGCTACAAGTTAAAACACATCTAAATGCAAATGCAATCTACCACAAGATTGGAAAAACATCCTCTAAATAGCTCTTTGGGACATGTCTAGTACTCAGAATTAAGTACATTACTTAAAGTTGCAATACTATCGTAGAAGTACAACCTGGAACTCATACGTGCAAATTTTGTACAGAATTTCCCTTTTCTCCAACTCTTTTAAATCTGTTCTCCCTTACTCAGTTGAAAAATAAACTTGCATGATTCTCTGTCATTTAAGTAAAGAGAGATGTAGAGAGACTCACAGCACTGAGGAGATGGAAAAATATGACACTCATGAACAATTACTATAAGCCATCCAGGTAAGAGAAATCATATACATTTTAAGAGGTCAAAATGTGCGTTTTCTTTCAAGAAAATCATATATCCTCATTCTATACAGTATAATTAACAGCAAGAAAGCTAAAACTCTAAGTGCACTCATACTGTATGCCAATATTATGCATATAAACATTGTATCACAAATAAATTTCTGTTAACCCTTTATTGGGCAAGTGACCATATATGATCACTGGGGTATACATATATATATATATACATATATATATATATATATATATATATATATATATATATATATATATATATATATATATATATATATATATATATATATGGGGGATGGGGCATGAAAGGGTTAAGCTGCTTTTAATGTTACCAAAAATGACGCACATAGATGGGGAAATGGACACCACCATCTCACAGAGCATAAGAAATAGAGTCATAAACAACACAGCTGCCATGGCCTCATATTTACCACTGAATGACAAAACATATCAGCTGCACATCACCACTCAGAGACTAAGTCCATCACACCCTCACATAGCCAGGGTTCTTAATGTCCGCTTCCTATAAGTCAACGCAAATTGCTAATAAAGAGGGTGTACAGGGGGAGTTCTCCCCGTCTAAGAAATAAAAAAAGTATGAAAAGTTGGGTATCAGTCTAAGAAATAAACAGAATGTATGAATTTCCGTCTAAGAAATAAACAGAATGTATGAAAAGACAGGTTTTAGTTTTAGAATTCATAAGATAACCTAGTTTAGGGACATTGCTCTCGGTAACAGATGCCATTATGCCAAACAGCAACTGATTTGCGGTCGAGCGGTACGGCCTCCACGTAAATGAGGTCTTGTGGTTCATTCAGCAATCTTTGTCGCAATTCAAGTTTCAGACGAGATTCATGTGTTCGTTAATGCAAGATGGGGATCTAAGCTTCAGCAGATGATTTGCTGTAAACTTAAATTACAGAATCATTCCCAAGTAACAAGGCAATCTCAGTATAATGGCCGGCTGCCGGTCAAAACTTGAATTTCAATATGAAGATTATTTGTACCAGATTTATTCTTAGATTGTAAATTTTACGAGTCAGGATATTTCTTTAATCCATCTTACCTCTCCACTTTACGACAAAAAAGTTGCTTCTTGTGGATCTTAAAAATCAACATCACAATAATCACAAAAAAATAAGATGTTCCCAAACGCAAGCCGCTCCGTCAGGTCGCCCGTAACCCCAATCTCCCCCAAATAAGCCACCCAGCCTATTTTCTCTCCCATTTCCACACACCCCATGAACCCCTCGAGCTTCAAGTTCAATAATATAGCCACACCATCATTATCTGCGCGTTTATAGGGCTTACCTTCGTCATTTTCCGTTTTTTCTGTGAGATTGCGAGAAGGCGCCATGTTTGTTTGGCTTCGGGTGTCAAGAGAGAATCTTTATTGGGGTTTTATCAAATGCCAAAAAAATGTATATCTAAAAAGTAATCTATAGATACTTAATAATATTGAGGTAATTATGGTTTGCTTTTAATTGAGAAAAAGGTAATTTGTTAATTCTATCTTTTTCTTGTCTTCTGTTGTCAAATGAGGTTGCTTTCAACACTTTTAAAAACTGTTTACTTATATACATCTTTCATCAAAATGTCTATTTTGTAATTCTAGTTGAGAAAATCAAATTTTGTTCTATTTGTAGTTAATTCGGCATTTTTCATTGTGCTATCCAAATTTTGAGTAATTTTTGTGTTCTAGATGTTACATTTATAATGTTTCAGATGACCCTCTCTATCTTATTTTTTTTCTCTATGTCTATCTTTTCTCTTCCTTTCCTCTTCCTCTCTTTCTCCTTTCTCCTTTCTATCTTTTCTCTTCCTTTCCTCTTCCTCTCTTTCTCCTTTCTCCTTTCTATCTTTTCTCTTCCTTTCCTCTTCCTCTCTTTCTCCTTTCTCCTTTCTTCTCACGCTCTCGACTCTCTAGTAATGATAATGATGATAATAATAATTGTAGTAAAGATAATAATAATAATAATAATAATTGTAGTAATGATAATAATGATAATATATAATATGATAATGATAATAATAATAGTAATGATAATGATAATAATAATAGTAATGATAATGATAATAATGATGATGTTGATAATGATAGAAATAACATTAAAAATAATAGTAGTAAAATGGTAATTATAATGACTGTAATAACATAAATAATGATAACAATAATGACAATAATACTAATAATAATGATGATGGCAAAATGATAGTGATAATAATAATGATGACAAAAATAGTGATGCTAATGATAAAAGTAATGATTAGAAACAATAACAATGATAATAATGATACTAGTAATAGTAATATAACAAGTAATAGAAAATTGTAATAAGAATATTGATAATGATAATAATGGTGATGATGATGACGATGATAATTATTATAATAATGATAATGATAATGATGATAATGATAATAATGAAAATGATCATGATAGTAATAATGATAATAATAATAGTAGAAATAGCAATGATTATGATAATAATGATAATGATAGTAACGATAATAATAAAAATCAAAATAACAATAGTAATGGCACTAATAATAAAAATGATACTAATAGTAATGATAATGATAATAATGATATTAATGATGATGATGATAATAATGATGATAACAATAGCAATAAAAATGATAATGATAGTATCAATACTTATGAAAATCACAATGATGATAATCACGATAACAATGATAATAATAAGAAAAATGATAACAATGATGACAATAATGATGATAATAATGATAATGATAATAACGATGATAACAATGATGACAATAATGATAATAATAATTATAATGATAATAACGATGATAATGATAATAACAATAATAATAATAATAATAATAATAATAATAATAATAATAATAATAATAATAATAACAATAATAACAATAACAATAATGATAACAATAATGATAATAGTAATTATAATAATAATAATAATAAAATAATATAATAAATAATAATAATAATAATAATAATAATAATAATAATATAATAATAATATAATAAATAATAATATATAAATAATATAATAATAAATAATAATAATAATAATAATAATAATAATAATAATAATAATAATAATAATAATAATAATACAATAATAATAATAATGATAATTAATAATAATAATAATAATAATAATAATATAATAATAATAATAATAATAATGATAATAAATAATAATCAATAATAATAATAGTAATAATAAATAATAATAATAATAATAATAATAATAATAATAATAATAATAATAATAATAATAATAATAATAATAATAATAATAATAATAATATATAATAATAACAATAACAATAATAATATAATAATAATATAATAATAAAATAATAATAATTACAATAATCAGAGAATTAGACAAATAGATTATATTCCTTAGAGAAGTTGAAGTAATTATATAGAGCTTGGAGAATCGCAAAGTAGATTATATAGAGCTTGGAGAATTGCAAAGTAGATTATATAGAGCTTGGAGAATTGCAATGTAGATTTATATAGAGCTTGGACAATTAGATTATATAAGTAGATTACATAGAGCTTGGGAAGAAGTAGATGATATAGAGCTTGGAGAATCACAAAGTAGATTATATAGAGCTTGGAGAATTAGTAGATTGAGCTTGAGAATCGCAAGTAGATTATATAGAGCTTGGAGAATT